ATTTTTTCTTTTCTCTAGAAGAATTCCAGCTAATGAATAAGAAAAAAATCATGGATTAGAATGTCACCACTTGGCAAACCACAACTCAAAGGATGACTCCAAGTAGTGATTATCGGTGGTTGCTAACATCACTGAAACGGAGCCAGCTAGACATTACGTGTCTTCAATGAAAGTACATGATACCACTCATGAAGTTGCTTTGCCAAAAACTGAGCCTGTATCAAACCAAGCCTCTAAACCTAGCTACAAGTTTACAGAACAGGTAGAGGCAAGAGAAACATGTTAAAAAATACTATGGGGAGGGAGGTGCAGAAAAATCCAGATACTGAAAATTATACATGCCCAAATGCATGGCTTTTTCATAAAACAAATTGCAAGGACCCCCCCCAAAAAAAGGGAACATTAGACATCAACCAGATGTCAATATGTTGACCTTTTTTGGATTTTGATTTCCATAAACTATTCAAAATGATAATATTTTATGAAACAATTAGAAATATTCAATGCCTGAATATTTGGCATTGTTGAAAAATTACTAAAACTTTCAGTTGTGATGATACTGTTATTACATTTTCATTAAGAGCTATTTTATTTTAGAAATACATATTGAAATATTTAAGAATGAAGTGATATGAGATGTGCTTCAAAATAATAATGGTTGGTAAGGGTATACATGAAACAAGGTTGTTGGATACAAAAGATTTCATCACATTATTTCTACTTTGTAAAGTGCTTATCTTTTAAGTATATGTGTAGAAAAATTCAGAGATGAAAAGATATGATAAATGAGATCCTTAAGAACAATTTTTATGTGACATCCACAATAAACACCTGGAAATGAGTCTCCTTTCAGAAACACCTTGAAATATTGGTTTAGTTAGTTGAATTTTATCAACTAAGAATGATTTGATTAGCTAAAAATATGAGATTCTGCATTATAAAAATACCAGCATAAACATCTATCATTATATATCAATAGTTGGCTGTTTATAATTATTTATCTTTATATTAGTTCATTTTCTCTGTAAGAACAACGAGTGCTGAAGTTTCAGGTGAAATGTATGAGGATAGAATTATGAATTGGTAAAAGACTCATTTTATTTTCGCATCAGAACACAGTGTTCTGCAGAAGAATAATTGGAGATTTCCCAAAATAAAGGAAAAAGTCTCTTCATGATCAAAACTCTGAAGAGAGAGGGCAAAACAAAATCACATGCACACTATTTATTAAAACATATGCAGTGAAACCTTAATTAACTGCATCCCTCAATACAATGTGTTATAACCATCAAAGATGGATTGCTATAACAATTTCATTTTAAAAAGCAATGTCTAAGAAAATTGGATTGGATAGTGAGCCCAACTTCCTAACACCTCACTTCTCTTGACTTATAATGACCACCGATCTTTCAAATATGATGCTGAAAATTATACAAGTGCCAAGCCATCCATAGAATATCGTGTCACATTCATCAGAGCACATTTATCAGCATGCAGGAGTGGCCTTACAGAAATGGTTCATTGTCACATGTTCAAGTCACATGTCACAAGTTTAATGCCCTATGAATATAGTGTGCAATCCAGAGAAAATACAGGGCTTCCCCTATGACTCAGCAGTAAAGAATCTGCCCGCAGTACGGGAGATGTGAGTTCGATTCCTGAGTCAGGAAGATCCCCTGGAGGAGGAAATGGCTACCCACTCCAGTATTCTTGCCTGGAAGATTCCATGGACAGAGGAGCCTGGTGGGCTACAGTCCATGGGGTCACAAAAGAGTTGGGCATGCCTGAGCAACTGAGCATGCATGCAGAGGAAATCCAGGAAGTCTTAGAGTAGAAAAATAGTTATCACAGGGGGAAAGGAGTTAGCAACTAGAAGGGGCATATGGAGATCTTCTGGGGTGCTAACAGGAGATACAAAGAGGGATTTTGGGTCTCTGGCTACATTGTGTCTCTTCAGTGTGAAAGCAGAAGGGACATGTTCCACTTGAGAAGTTTTAGCAAACTATACAATTATGAGATGTGTAGCTTAAATATGTTAGAGTGAAAGTGAAAGTTGCTCAGTCATGATCAACTCTTTGTGACCCCATGGACTATACAACCCATGGAATTCTCCTGGCCAGAATACTGGAGTGGGTGAACTTTCCCTTCTCCAGGGGATCTTTCCAACCAAGGGATTGAACCCAGGTCTTCTGCATTGCAGGCAGATTCTTTTCCAGCTTAGCCACAGGGGAAGTCCATATGTTAAACTTCAGTCCAAAGTTTTGTATCTATACACATTTGCGTGTGTGTGTGTGTGTGTGTGCTTGTGAGTGTGCTAATTTCTATTCCTGGTATTTTCATCTTTAACAAAAGATTTTTGGCTGCCTTGTCCAGATCATTTTGATTGAGTTCTTCCCTGGTCATAGGATATAGCAAAGTGAACAGCTTAAAAACAAGCACATAGACATTAAGAAAATAAGATAAATATTAATAAATATTAAGGCTTAATAATCTGGGGTATTTAGATCCATTGCTTTGAAAACAGAGTTCAATAATTGAGTCTCTTAGTGGTTTTATGTCCTCAAGAGCAGTTAAATTATGTAATGTACAGTGTTACTGCACGTTCATGAATGCTAAGTCACTTCAGTTGTATCCAGACTCTGTGACCCTATGGATTGTAGCCCACCAGCCTCCTCTGTCCAAGGGATTCTCCCGATCCAGGGATCAAACCTGAGTTTCTTACATCTCCTGCATTGGCCGACAGGTTCTTTACCACTAGCGCCAGCACTGTTACTAAGGGTGGGGAAATTTTAGAAACCTTTCACTGTGATTAAATGATTTACTGTTTAAAGATGAAGTTCATTAATTGTAAAATTAAGTTACCCCAACAATGCTGAAAACGGGTGTTACTGTTTATTGTCCTGACTTTGGGTGTAGTTTTTTTGGTTAAGCAGTATTTAATCAGAAATTTCACTTAAACAAGTCACACGTTCCCGAGTCATTCCATATGATCAAAGCTTCACTGTAATGTGTAAATCTACTATAAAGTAGATTTTGACTTTAAAGAAACATTACACATAAGTTGTTGCACAAATGAAGAAATGGTCAATGTGATCAGAGCCAGGGAAGCTAAAATGATAGAATGTAAGAGCTGGAGGGAACATTAGAAAGCATCTGAGTCTATCTGCACACTTTACAGTGAAGGAAATTTAGGCTCTGAGAGCTTAAATTGACTTCCCAAAGATACATAGCTAACATGTGGCTGATCTGCAACCAGAACTGATATAACCCTATTTGCTGGCCCGCCGACCCTCAGTCAGCCCCGTTCTCCAGAGCAGAGTTGTGGGATCAAGCTCATTTGAGTTTGAATCAGTTTAGCTCTTGGATTTGCTACTTGGGTGTGACCATGGGGCCCAGTAACAGATCCTGTCCTATGGAAAAATATTGCCTGGGTATTAATTCAGAGGTACAGCCACCAAGTATCCTGAGAGGGTAACTCCCTAAGACAGGTCTGAGGCATTGGAAGCTCAGAGGTGCATTAACCTCCTCAAGGCATGGCTGCTCAGTGGGATTCTGCTTTCCTTCTGCCGTGGAAGTGCCCCTCACCCTGGGATCTGCAGGGAGGATGGCTGTGGCCTTTGGATGTTGTCTCTTTTTTAAAATATTTATTTATTTTTATTGGAGTATAATTGCGTTGCAATGTTGTGTTAGTTTCTGCTGTAAACAAAGTGAACCACCTATGTGTATACATATATCTCCTCCCTCTTGACTATCACTTCCATCCCACCCATCTAGTTCATCACAGAGAACTGAGCTGAGCTTACTGTGTTATAAGGATATTCTCTCTTTCTAATGATAAATCTAAACATGCTGAGCAAGGTTTGTACCCTAAGTGTCATTGAGTTCCAATGCCTAACTGTGGGCTTCCTTTAATGCTGTTTGCACCTGCCATCTAATGGAGATGGTGTTAGGACTCATGTCAAAAGGCTTTTATGGTGAATTCCCTGGTGGTCCAGTGGTTAAAACTGAGTTCCGTCAGGAGTTCGGGCTCTGGTCGGTGAACTAAGATCTCTAACATGCTGCTTGACGTGGCCAAAAAATTTTTTTTGAATTTAAAAAGGCTTTTATGAGAATGAAAAGAGCTAATGAAAAAAAAAGAGCTAATGTACTAAAGTGGGTATTAAGATGCTTGACACACATTAGCCATGTAAAATAAGTTGTGTAGCTGTGTACACACACTTATTGTGTACAACACACAGTAAGTTGTGTAGTTGTGTACAACTTCAGTTAACTATTGTTAACTTGACGTGGCCAAAAAATTTTTTTTAAAGTTAAAAAGGCTTTTATGAGAATGAAAAGAGCTAATAAAAAAAGAAAAGAAAAGAGCTAATGTACTAAAGTAGGTAATAAGATGCTTGGCGCACATTAGCCATGTAAAATAAGTTGTGTAGTTGTGTACACACACTTATTGTGTACAACACACAATAAGTTGTGTAGTTGTATACAACTTCAGTTAACTATTGTTATCTGCTAGAACACAGCAATGGATTTGATACTGATGCTGTCCAAGAACTCTGACCGTTGTTTGACTTGGACAAATTTGCCTTCAGAGAGTGCATTGCTTAAAAATAATGGCTTTGTTAAAAACACTGGAAAACAGGAAAAAAGTTGATTAACTACTTATATATTTAGGAATTGAGTCAAGTTAGGACTCTGGTTATTTTTTCCTAAAGGAATAAGGAATGTAGTTGAATTTTACTTTTCTCAAGCCTATTTTTACATGGGAAGACCTAAGATCTAGCTCCTAATCCATTACTTAATAAAAAGTATCAATGAGAAAATTATCAGACCACTTCAAGCATCTGTTTTCTCCTTTTTAAAATGAGGTTGATAGTAAGACCTACTCATGAGGTGGTTTGGAACTTAAGTGAGAGATAATGTACACAAGAGGCAAAAACATGGTCAGGGGTAAGTCTATAAAGAGTGGCGATCTTAAGGAGATTGTGTTACCTCTTTTCCAGTTTTCACCTTGCTGCTACGAAAGGACACGTGGAATGCCTCAGGGTCATGGTTACACACGGCGTGGATGTGACCGCCCAAGATACTGCCGGTATGTCATCTTTTTCTCTTAAGCCAACAGGCCAGCAGGAAAGTAGGTATCACAGAAATGATACGTATTCCTTGTAGAAAATTTACATTCTATACAGATCAACCAAAATAAAAACATAGAATCTCCTCCAGTGACTGGGCTCTGATGTGGTTTCATTATTTGGGCCTTTACAAGTGTTTTCATCTTATATGTGGTTAGTCAACTAGAGACTATGCTTCTTATCCCCCATTTAAAATTTTTATTTTCCAAGATGATATATATGGACCAAGTACTCTCCCCCGATTTTTGTTCTTACGAATCCTGGTACAATGTGATGAGTGGAGTGAATTGTTCAGGTGCTCATTTCATCAACTAGCTGAGGTGGGCTCTGTGGACAGAAGGCAGGATCTTCACGTGGATCAGCTGCCCATTATCTTCACCGCTTACTGTGTTTTATTTATTTATTTAATTTTTTTTTTTATTAGTTGGCCCTTACTGTGTTTTAGTGTATCTGAATCACCCAGGAACTGGAGGGGAGGAAGGGCGAAAGAGCTTAAAGGGGGAAAGGAGAAGAAGGAAAAGAATAAACAGCACACACACACACACACACACCCCTACAGACAACCCCGCAAATATATATCCCAGCTCTGTCTTCAGAGATTCAAAATGTCTGAATGTTTGCAGCCGGTTGGTACTTTTGTAAAGCTACCAGCTGATTCTAACATGAAACCAGTGTTGATAAGTGATGATCAAGTCAGAGAGAAAAGGAAGTGCAGTCTTGTCTTCTATGAACATTGTTTTATAGGAAGGAGTCCCTGGGTTGCCAGCCTGGGTTTCTGCCCCTGTTGTCCACACCAAAAGGTGGAAGCAACTACTGGTAGCTTTTCACTTCTCTATTGTACTTGAAAATCTTTGTCTTCTAATAGACTTTTGTTGGTTTTTACTGGAATATAAGATTGGTCTGTTCTGTAGTCTTTATTGAGGCTTTTCATTAATCTGTGATGGAGCCCTTTTGCTTTCCACCTGAAAACACTGACACCCCAGAGTAGTCATCTTGGGGGCAGATTGGTCAAGTGTTACCAAAATACAGTTATTACTTAAAATATGGCCGGAAAACTCATATTTCAGAATTGTTTTCATAAAGTCTGTGGCACTTAAAAAATAATATCAGGGTCTGGGAATATTTATTCTTTGAGAATAGACTTTGTTTTTGTAAGACAGATGAAGAGCAGTCAAGTCAGGTAAATGAGGTGTCAATCTGGTAAAACCATTTTTGGTTAAAAATAGGGAGTGATTGAAGTAACAGAATGATTTTCCAGAGCAGTGCCACAGAAAACTCCAAAAGAATATTTTGAGAAATGGCAATACTTCAGGTGACACTAGTGGTAAAGAACTTGCCTGCCAATGTAGGAGACATAAGAAATGCAGGTTTGATCCATAGGCCGGGAAGATCCCCTGGAGAAGGAAATGACAACCCACTCTAATATGCTTGCCTGGAAAATTCCATGGACAGAGGAGCCTGGCAGGCTGCAGTCCACGGGGTGTCAGAGTCAGACATGACTGAGCACAGATTATTATAATTCCAGCAGAAGAAAGAATGGTTTCTCTAAGGGATTCCCTTGAAGGGAACACTACGTTGCTAATTAAAGTCATCTTTAATACCAAGGTCCATTTTTTTTTAAGTTTATTGTTACTACTTTTAAAGTTGTACCACATGCATACAGAGCAGTATGAGTGGCTACCATCCCCGTGATGAGATGTGTCCTCTTAAGTAGATGGGATTTCTTTAAGAAAATCATAATCTAAAAAAGTTTGTTTAGTGTGAATAAATATGAGCTGTAATATAATTTTGTTTAACTGCATTTGATGTTAAAAAATAGATTAGGAGTCTCATATTTCCATCATAACTGAACATCGCTACCCTATGTTTTTATTAAAGGGAAAAAAAGTTTAATACATGTTTAATAAATAAACATGTTTAATAAAAAACATGTTTAATACATGTTCATTGTAAAAAAATTGGGAAATACAGAAAACTACCAAGAAGATAACCAGTGGTTCTACTCCAAGAAAAAAAAAAAAATCTACTGTTTTGCTGTATTTCCTGCCAGATTTTCCTGGTGCAGTTTTACGTAGTTGAGATCACATTATATAATAAACTCTAAATCCTGCCATTAAAAAAAAAAAAGATTACCATGATCATTTTCTGTACTAAAAACTCTTAAGAAGCATAGTTTTTTGTGGCTGTCTAACACCATGTGGATAGAGTTTGTATTTACTACCAGAGCCCTCCCTCGGCTCCTGAAAGCCAAGGGAGTCATGCCGTGAGACCTGGACACCCCAGCGCAGTTCCCTCTTCCTTGCCAGTGGAGATGACAGTGCTCTCCAAGAAGCTTGAGGGGAGGACTTCCCTGGCAGTCCAGTAGTTAAGACTCCATGCTTCCACTACAGAGGGGCACAGGTTCGATCCCTGGTCAGGGAACTAACATCCCACAAGCCACAAGGCATGGTCAAAAAATAAAAAGCTAAAAACAAACTGGAGGGGAAGCTGCAGACCCATCCTCCCATCCTGGACTCTTCTCTGGGCTGGTTAGTGGAAACTGTCACAGCCCATTTCTTTCAACTCTGATTGAAACTGGTAGAATCCATAGCACTTGGCAGCCCCAGAACACCTTCAGTACATCCTGTGAGTTGGAAATGTCTCGAGCTGCCTGTCACTTTTCTCTCATTTCTAATAATGAGGTCAGCACTCTGGTCCTTGGGCTTATTGTTTTGCTTTGGTCTGAGTGAGGCACTGACTTCTCATGGTTTCTTGAAAGCATGCAAACAGAACCAGGAACAAAAGAAGGAAAAGTGGCATGGGTAAAAGTACATGGAAAATCTGTTGCATTATCTAAACAACCCTTCTCAGAGTTTTTCCTGTTACAGTGAACAAGATAAATGTGATGGCCTTTACTGCTCATGTCCTTGCTGTTGGCTGTAACACCCACTCCTTTCTTTCCTCAAGAATGTGTGTCAGAATCCAAGGGAAGGGCAAGGACATTAGTCACTGTGCTTTAGTGGTTGTCGTTAGCCCAAAACATTTGATTAAAGGATGAATTAAATGGCTCAGTTGCTAAGTTGTGTCCAGCTTTTTGTGACCCCATGGACTGCAGCACACCAGGCTTCCCTGTCCTTCACTATCCCCTAGAGTTTGCTCAAACTCATGTCCATCGAGTCAGTGATTCCATCCAACCATCTCATCCTCTGTCGTCCCCTTCTTCTCCTGCCTTCTATCTTCAATCATCAGGGTCTTTTCCAATGAGTCTTCTTATCTCATTATCTTATCTTAGAGCTCCAAAGTAGTGAAGCTTTAACATCAGCATCAGTCCTTCCACTGAATGTTCAGGGTTGATTTCCTTTAGAATTGACTGGTTTGATCTCCTTGCTATCCAAGGGACTCTCAAGAGTCAGCTCATAGATGCTGTCTTTTTCAGTCAACCTACCTGAAGTGTTTCTTTATTATTGCTAAGATCCAGTTATCTTCAATTCTAATACCCAGTGAGAACTCGTATGAAAATCTGTTACCATAAACCCAACTGCCCTGCAGAGTTTCAGAAAAAACCCTGCTTTCAAAATATAACATTACACTGACCCTTTTAATTCTTTATATCCACACAGTGTAAAGCATGGTTAACTTGGAACAATTACATACTACTTAAATTGGTGACTGGGTTAAGTTCAGAAACAAAGGGATTTTAGTATCTATTTCTTTATCAACTATCCTTCCACATCAAATGTTTGGAAGTCTGACCACAGGCTTTTCATAAATGCTTTACAAACAATCTCAGGAGTCAAGCACTGTCAGTAGATAAAGCCTTGTGTGTGGTACCAGTAGTGTGAAAGTGTTAGTCACTCATCGTGTCCGACTCTTTGTGACCTCATGGACTGTAACCTGCCAGGCTCCACTGTTCATGGGATTCTCGAGGCAAGAATACTGGAGTGAGTTGCCATTTCTATCTCCAGGGGATCTTCCTGACTCGGCATTGAACCTGTGTCTCCTGCATTGCAGACAGTTTCTTTACCATCTGAGCCACCAGGAAAGCCCAGTACATCTCAATTATCATCATTTTAGATGGCTTTGGAGGCTTAGGTGAAAGCATACATGTGAACATCCCAGTCTCTTTTGCACATCAGGTTTTGAAAATATTTCACATCTTAAAAAAGCTGTGGTTATCACCAAGCCAAACACTCTCATAGTATAAATCAGAAAAAGAAATCCCAAACTGGCAGAAGCTCATGACTCATGTTTTTGGTTTGTGGAGTTCCCCCCATTCCTCGGCTTCCCTGTGGCTCAGCAGTAAAGAATCTGCATGCCATGTAGGAGACACAGGTTCAATCCCTGAGTCAGGAAGATGCCCTGGAGTAGAAAATGGCAGCCCACTCAGTATTCTTGCCTGGAAAATCCCATGGACAGAGGACCCTGGTGGGCTGCAGTTCATGGGGTCACAAAACAGTCAGATACAACTTAGCAACTAAACACCCCATTCCTTATCACCTATTTGCCAAATAGCACCATAGACATAGTGATAGCAGTCAGCTGGCACCTCAGCTCACAGTGCTGACTCTAAAGAGGACCTTTGTGTTTGCTTGTGTTCTTCCCTGATTTAGGAAGTGGCATTCTGTTTCTTTAGAAATGTAATCATTTCTTCCAGACTTGTAGGTTGGTTTTTTTTTTTTTTTTTTTTTGGATGCCTGTAATTAGCACCTGGGAAGATAAGATAGGATTAAACAGAGCGTTAACAGAAGATTGAAGAAGACCAAAGAATTTTCTGTTTATTATCAGTGCTTGTCTGAAGTATTAGCTTGCAGACTCCCTTTTTTAGCAAGTGTATGCATTTGACACAATGTGGCCCGGTGGCTTAAACAAGATAGACTTTTCTCTCTTTCAATTAAAAGTCCCAAATTGCTATGGCTACTCAGCTCCACACTGAGGACTCTTACCCAGACTTGTTACTCCACCATCCAGGGTATTGCCTTGG